TGCATCGACGCCTGTCCCGACATCATCGCGGCCGCCTGCACCTTCAGGTCGGTGGAGCCGCCGCCGCGCCAACCGTCGTGCACAGCGAGCATCTGCGAGAGGGACATCGAATCGGCGAGCGACCGCTGCAGGTGCATCGAGTACGACGAGCAGAGCGCAGCGGTCAGCGACGCCTGGTCGGGCGCGGCCACGGGCGCGACCGCCGGCAGGCCCGCCACCGTCGGGGAGTTGGGGGCGGCGCCGGGCTGAAGGCCCTGTGCGCCGCCCCACAAGTCTTCGAGGCCCACAGCCGAGGGCGGCATGGGTTGCAGCGGCGGCAGCGGCGGCAAAGACTGCAGCGCCGCCTCCTGCGCCCGGGCCAGGTCGAGGCTCGGGTAGGGCGGGCGCTCGCGGGTCTGCCGCCGCTTCATGCGAACGCGGGGGATGCACGGCCGGCCGCGCTCGACGCAAGAGAGGCACGAGCCGCACTGGAGCATCGTGCAGCGGAGCTTGGCCTTCCAGCACGCCATGCACGCCTAAGGGGGCGATGTGGGGGCGTCGTCAAGCGGCGAGGGCGGCGGCAAAATGGCGCGGGCGAGGAGAGGGAGGGCGAGAGCGAGGACGAGAGCAAGAGCAAGAGCGATGGTGAGAGCGAGCGAGGGCGAGAGGCGACATGGAAGGCGAGGGTGAGGGCGATGGCGGGCGAGAGGGAGGGCGAGCGCGAGGGCGAGGGCGCTCTGAGAGCAAGAGCGAAGCGCGAGCGCGAGCGTTTGAGAGCGATGGCAAGGGAGGGCGCGGGCGAGGCTCCTCGCCTGCTTTGCCCGCCTCCTCTCGCCGCTCGGGTAAAATGCAGTCTCGCCAGGCTGCAGCGGCAGCGGCTGGAAGCGGGGGTCAAGCGAAGTCATCGCCACAATCTGCGGCGCGGCAATCTGCGGCGCGACGACGACCTGTCCCAGCTGCTGCTGGGGCGCAGATATAGTCGGCGGTACCATGAACATTGTTTGTGCGTTGTTCCAGCCCGGCATGGGCAGCATCTGGGCCCAGCAACTCAACGATGGCTGTAGCTAGGATAAACCGCGGCTGATTGGGGATGTTTCCAAGACACGCCTTCTTTCGATCCAATTTCGATCCAAATGGTCGAGAACATTCTCTCGAGGCGCCGTTCACACCCGCCTCCCGATGGCGAGAGATTTTGCGTCTGTAGTTTATGGTGGTTCAAGGTGTCGGCTCGAGATTTTGCGTCTTCAAAGGGTGGCTGTCCTCTTCGCTGAGCGCACAGCCACGGTGCCGGCCTTGCCATACGGTCTGCTTGCACGTTCCTGGCAGTCGCCGTCGCAGCGCCAATAGGCACCGCTCGCCAACAGGTTAGCCATACCGAGGCGGGTCCGTGGGTGAACGCCGCAGGGTCACAACCCCTGGGCCAGTTGTTGGTGGATCGCGGATGCAGCTTTAAGGCTCTGCCGGCGGATCTGTGGCCTGGCGTATGCCAGGCTGCGGGTCCAAAGTGTCCCGGCGCGGCGCGCGCCACCGCCCCTGGCGCGGGGCGGGATGTCAGTACGTGAGTACGGTGTCCCTGTCCCTGTGCTCCACCTTGGCTTGAGTCAGGCTTCGGGCCTGGCCTAATCGCTCGCGCGCGGGTGTGCCTGCTTGGCTCAAGCCAAACAACAACAAACACTTATGGCTCTCTGATGCCCAATGCGTGCACTCGTCCCTCTCTGTATGTGTGGGTTCGTGTGTGCGGGGGCCCTCCTTGTCTCTGCCTAGACAGTGTGAGGTAACACCTACCTACCTTTGAGCTTTTGCTCGGGCGGAAGAAGGCGCCTGAGACTCCCACGGGCACGGCGGTGGCGCGCCTCCAAGTGCCAGCTAGCCGGGGTCTAGCTCGGCTTGCCTCCGAGAACGAGGCAAAGTGCATGCGCGGCCGGAAGGAAGATGAGCGGAGCGACGCGAGCGCGCAAGCCAGTGGCGAATCGTAGCGGAGGGCGGGTGAGCCTACAAGCGTGACGAGCGGCGAACTTGGCGATCGCGGAACCGTGTGTGGGCGTGCATCAGACGCGAGCGCCAGACGAGGTCCAGAAGGGCAACAATCATCGAGAGAAAGTTGAAAACGCTCGCCGCGACGCAGACAGAGGTGCAATCAGGATAGACCTGCCGTCGGCAGCTCATGCTGTCAGCGTCGGCGCCGTTGACGAGAAGGGTTTCGAGCACCCTGTGCGGAATGTCGACAAAGGTGGTCACAGTCCATGCGCTCGCCAGGTGCAGCGCGGCGGCGACGAACATACTTTAGTTCGTTCTAACGTTCACCGCCGCGCGGCGTCACCCTGTAAATGGCGGGCATGTTGTGTGTAACTGAAAAAACAAAAACAAAAAGAATTGTAGGGAACGGGGGCTACAAAAAGATTCCCCTTAAGTTTCAGAACTACGCGTAGCGCCACTCATCGCGGGTGCCGCCCGCCGCGCTGATGGGCTCATCCTGCGTCATGCCCTCCTCAAAGACGATCTCCTGCGCGTCGAGGAGGCTCAGGTCGAACTCCTTGATGAAGCGCACGTTGAGCTCCTCGTAGCCGCCGACCGCGCCCTCCGCCTTCCAGTCGACATGCCGCTTATAGTCGGCCACGATCTCGTCGATCGGGTCATCGTTGACGTACCGACGGATGATGCCGAAGATCATGCCAGTGCGGTGCATGCCACCCGCACAGTGGATGAGGATGCCCCCTTTCGGCGGCTCGCCGTTGGGGTTGAGCAGGTCCTTGATCTGCGATGCGCAGAGCATCATCGCGTTGCGCTTGTTCGCCTCGGTCCATTCGTCGGCGTCATCGACCATCCGGCGCCACTTGCGTGTCATCTTGCGTGCTCGCTCGTCAAAGTAGGACGGCAGCGCGCTGGACGACGCGTCGCGCATGTCCGCACAGACCTTGGCCTCCGCCTCAAGCCAGTCCTCCAACGGGAAGTGGCCCGCGTACAGGTTGCACACATGCTTCACGACGCCGAGTTCGAGGGCAGTGCGGTAGAAGGAGCCGTGCTCCGCCGCGTCCGCCATGCACTGTGTCCGCACCAGCAAAAGTGGGCGGCCCTCCGTGTCGAACTTGCCCTTGAGCACGACCGCGCCGACATTCTGCCCGCGGTGGAAGTCGAACATGAGGCGCACGAGGTAGCCGAGAGTCGCGTACTTGGCCGCACCGAGCTGCTCCTCTGTCGGCGTGTGGCCGCACGCCTTGGCGACGCCGTGGATGATACGATCCCGCGTCTTGATGATTTCGCCGTCCTCGCCCCAATAGGCCCGCCCGTTGCCCTTGAGACGATCGAGATCGACACCGGCGGTGCGAAACGCCTGCTGCGTGGGGCCATCAAACTCCTGCGGCGACGCTGCGTCGTCCGGTCCTCCTTTGCCGACCGCATGCACGAAGAAGCTTTGCCAGCCACGGATCTGCGCCTCGACGACCTGCGTGCAGTGCGCCTCGGCAGCGTGGGCGGCCTCCGTGCTCAGGGCGTAAGCCTTCAATATTTTGCGAGTGAGCGCCGCGGACATTGGTACGACGGAATCGTTGTTCATGATCCGTGCAACGATCGCAGCATGCTGCTCAGCTGACGATGATGGTGGCGGCGCGGCGTCACTAGTGACCGGCCTCGGGGCTTCGACCAACGGCTTGGCGGGAGCCGACGCGCCACAACCCATCAAGACCTACAACGTCGACAAGGAGGTGATGCCGAAACATCCTTCTCGTTGCTCGCTCGCCCGGGCGGAGGGCATGGCCGCGGAGGAGGCGAGTACGCGCTTGCCAGGCCTTCCGCAGACAGCCTCTCGGGCAGACTGAGGGTCGGCTTTGCGTGGCGTGGCCCGTACGCTGCGCTGCGCAAAGCTGCGTGTGCTGAGGGAGCATCCTGTGCTTCCACTGGGAAGTGCGCACCTCCTGCAGCTGGTGGAAGGCCGTGCCGCCGTGCGTCTGGGCAAGCTTCCTGGCGTTTCTGGCGAGCGTCCAGACGTCGCAGAGCATCCGGCAGGCGCGCAGCGACCCAAATTTTTGCTCACCGCACGGCCGTGCGAGCCGTCGGTCGGTGGTGATGGTCGGCGTCGGCGTGCGCCGACCAACGCGGCTGCGGTGGGCGTCATGTGGTCCCCCCTTCCAGCTTCTCTCGTATCCTCCTCTCGACATACGAGCCAGCGCCTAGGCCGCCTGGGCCTAGCTGCCTTGCGACAACCCACCCACACCTCCCATCCCAAAAACCGCGCGACGGCGGGCGCTCTCCGCATATGCCGCCCATCCCCGCGGCCCTGCTGCTGGCCGCTGCACCGGCTCGTGGCGAAATGCTTCCGAGCGCAGAGTCGCTCTGTCTCCACCGTGCTGTGCCTGACGGCTAGCCGCCCCTTCGTTGCCAATCGTGACTGACACGTTCTGAACCGCCCCGCCCCCCCTCTTACGTTCATAGGCGCGCAGCCACTGATCATGTGGATGTCGCAGCGCGTGGGCTCCTCGTGGGTGTCGCGGCTGCTCAACTCGCACCCTGAAATTGCGATGAAGGGCGAGAAGTACAACAACTGTCAGGATGACGACTGCTTGGAAGAGATGTGCCGCCTCTTTACGGCGCCAGCCTCGCCCGAGACTCGAGTGCGAGGCTTCAAGCAGAAGTTCCTCTACTGCGGCGGCGGACCCCAGCTGGAGAGGAAAATGTGCCTGCCGCCTGACGCGGGACTGAATGCGCTTGAGCGTTGCTTGCTGCCGGACGACCCCAGCATCGGCATATACGAAAAGGGCTTCCTTTGGCAGTGGGATGCGAACGGCACGAGAGACAATGTCTCCATGACGATCCGGCTCGACTCTCCAAACACTCAGCTGCCGACACGCCGCGCCGTGTCCGTGACAAATGTCCGCGACTTGCCTGCAGGCGGCATCAGCACATCCTCTCGTACCAGATCTTCACGCACGTGGGGGCAAAGGTTGTGTGCATGCTGCGTCGCAACGCGTTCGATATCGCGCTTTCGATCGAGACGCACTCACTCCTCGTCCAGAGGTGCGGCGTCAGCAACCTCGTGAATGACGAGGCGGTGGGCTGCTGGGACGAGGTGCGATGGGCGACTTTGCTCACTGTCCCTCCCACACCTTGCTCGCGCAGCCCCGCGTGCCTCGGCGACCCGGAGGAGGACTCGGCACTCAGGCGTGTGCCTCCCTACGCCAGGTGCGGCGCGAGGGCGTGCGGGTCAACGTTACGCACTTCACCGAGAGCGTCTTGGACCAGTCAAGATTCACGAGGTTCCAGGTGGAGGTGTGCGAGGCTCAGGCACGGCACTCGCCGGTGTACTTTCTGTGGTATGAGGACTTGCTCAACGACTTTTCAAAGGCGACGCACGACCTGCAGGTCTTCCTCGGCGTCACTCCGATGGAGCTCAGCTCGTCCATGCAAAAGACTAACGAGGACGTGCACCGTTGGATCCTCAACTTTGACGAGCTGATCGCCGCGGCCGAGGGGTCCATAACCATGCTGCAGAGCTCCTCCGAGGAGTGCAACGGCGTCCTCGGCGCCCGGGGTATGCTGCGCAATGCGAGCGGCATCCTCGGTTCCGCCGACATGACGTCTGACGAAGCCGGTGTCGGCGGCGACACGGACCAAAGGGCGAAATCGGACCCAGCGCCGCTGCTGCTGGTCATCGCCGCAGCCGCCGGTGGCTGCGCGGTCGGCGCCCTCGCTGCTCGGGCTTCGTGGAGATATGACACAAAAGAGGCGACAAAAGTGGATGCCCTGTGACTCCCTCGGCCCTCACCGCGGCTCACTTCTCCTCGGCCTCACACACAGGTCGTCGCCAGGCCGGCTCCCACAGTACGAGGGGTCGCGAGGGCGAAGCGCGGGAAGCGGCTGCCTCGCAGGGCGGCGCCGCGGACTGGAGCATCGGAGTATGCCTCTACCGAGCAAGCGGCGCTGTGGAGCTGTGCGCCCGGCGCCGACCCGGAGGACATGCAGGCAGCAGCGGAGGAAAGACGAGACGCAAGTGTGTAGGTTGTTGGAGGATGACTCATCGGCGCCGCATCTTACAACGTATCGCACACGCACCGCGCGCTCCGCGGGGTCTCTCTCTCTCTCTCTCTCTCTCTCTCTCTCTCTCTCTCTCTCTCTCTCTCTCTCTCGTCGCATATGCTACCAGATCACAGTATGGGTTACGTCCCTATTCACAGCAGTATGACGGGGTCCCCTACCTCTGGAGTACGAGTGTGGATTCTTTTTTGCCCAGTGTTGTGCGAGGGAGTTTTGTTGTAAAATTCTTTTTTCGATATAAGAGAATTCCAGGGCGCTGCATAGTGCATTTTTCTTCTAAGGGAGAGAAAAAAATCTCGCGGAGGGAGCAATCAACAAGTGTCACACATGACGCAAGCCGATGCAATTGCATTTTGCAGGACGCAATCCAAATTTAATCAGGTCTCAGCTCGGCCTCGGGAGCAACCATGGAGTGTCAACGGCGGTGTGTCATCCGTCGCATACCATTGCGAGTTTCGTGTGTGGAAGCAACAGCTTCGAAAAGCTTGTGATACACACGGACCGGAGCAATGCGCCAGTGACCATTCTGACTCTGATTCTGACTCTCCCCTCTCCTACCTTGCCGTGAAAAAAGTTGATCAACAGTCACTCGGCGCGCCGCCTTCTGGTGGACTCGCGCACGTAGGCGGCAAAGCTGCTCCGGCTCGGAGGCGAGTGCTTGAGCTCTCGCAACACTTTGTGGAGGTCTATCTCAAGGGTTCAGCGGCTCGCTGAGCCCACTCTTTTTCTTGCCCGAACCAGAGACGCGCGAGGCCCGCACCTGCGGTGCGCGCAATACGGGCACTTAGCGCACCCCCTACTGATCGAGTGAGGGCCGCCACGGAGAGGGATTTGCTTGAGTGGGGATGCTCGCACCGGCTCCAAAGTCGTCTTGTGGTCCTCTCCCGAAGACATCATGCCCGCAATCTCGTGCACCAAGAGCGACGCCACAAGCAGGGTGCAACTTGCGATAGTCCAGTTGTTGGGGACGTCACCATAGATGAGGTACACCCAGATCGGGCCGCCAACCTACACGATCAATTCGCCACGGGTTACCGCTGCTGACGTTGGCTTTACAGTACACACGCCGCAGCGCACCGTCTCAAGGAGCAGGATGAGGGCAACCTCAGCGCCTGTGATGTACTTGGGGGCAACAACACACGCGACCTGCAAATGGAAGGCAATGTCAGACACATGGCTTCAGATGGCGGCCGGTCAGGCTTAAAAAGCGCACGTTGTACGCTCCGAGGCCAAGGCCCATGAGAAAGAGGAGGCCCCAAAAGATCGGCTGCAAGCCTCCGGTGAGCGACACTCCGGCGGAGAGGGCCGTGATCGTGGGGGCGATGGCGGTAAAGGCGGCGCCAAATGCGGGCACCGACTCGAACGAGACGTCCGGGTTCTTCATCGAGACGTACCGAACGTAGATGAGGAAGAGGGCCTGCAGCATCCCAGTTGCCAGCGGGATGAGCACCATCACCGGGTTCTCCTCGGCGGCCGCGACGGTGTACGAATACACGCTGAGCATCCGCCCCTCCGCTGAGGGCGGCGGCGGCTCGCCATTCATGGCGGCAAGGACGTTGGGAACGAAGACAAGGACCATCGAGCAGATGGCTGCGACGTTGCAAAGGATTGTGCGCATCGGCAGCGCATCTCCCAGCACAATCACGCCCAGGATTGCCGACCAGAGCGGGTTGAGGCTGATGAGCAGCAGCGCCTTGGCCGGGTCCACCTGCCACGACCAGAATGGGATTTTGGTTTACGCAAGTGGCGGCACTGCACGTGCGGCTGAGGCAGGCGGTCGCGTGCGACCGCGCGGCGGCCGCGGCGAGCGCAGCGATCACCACCGTGGCGGCCGCGGATTGGGCAGGGGCAGCGCAGCGCGCCTTGAGCAGGCTGATGGTGAAGCCGAGGTTGATGCCAAGCATGAGAACAGCAGCCATAAGGATCGGGCCGGGCGAACGTACTATCCCCTTGAGAAGCGGACCCACCCCCCCTTCATTGTACACCGCCACAGCCAAGCAGATGAGGCCGACGGCGACGTACCGCCACACGGTGATCACCTCCTCGGTGCCACCGGCTAAGTTCATGGCGCGGAGCAGCGCTGCGTCCGGCGTGGCGCCGAGCACGCCGATAAGGGCGACCGCTGTCCCGAGGGCCCGAGTCATCGCAACGGCCTTTTGGGAGCGACGGAGCGGCGCGGCCAAAAGCGCCGAGGGGGTACTTACGTCCCAAAAGCAGATCGGACGGGCCGCCGGCCTCAGCGGTTTCTTGGAGGCGCAACCCCTCATCAAGCTTTCGAGGCTGTCGAAAGCTGTCGAAGGCGAAGGCGCTGCATGCGCTCAAAAGCAGGAACGAATGGCGCTTTTCCTGTCTTTCTTCCGACCGAGCGACGGAGCGAGAAATAATCGCCCATTCTTGAGCTAGTTAGTGGCTTGCGACTCCCGAGGCCGACCGCTAATACCAGTTGTGGCTGTTTGTGGCTCTTTTAGTTTTGTGTGGGCCGGGGCAGACGGAGCAA